TGTTGCACTCTTGAAGATGAAACTAACTTTATTGTAAAGGACAAGAAGACAATGACACTACTAGCCAAGAGATCTAAAAGGAATAGACTCTATGTTTTGGAAGATAATAATCTCTATGTTTTAACTGCTGCAAGATAACGTTCAAATATACTTCTTGAAAAGAAATATAAACGATCGTATGCAATATATTTACCCAACTATGAGTCGGGGTCGATCCCACAGAGAATATGAAAGAATATTGTCAATAGTAAATATTTAACTCGATAGTTGTTATAAAAATGGGGGATTTAAATTGAAATAAAATAAAATTAAAACAATAAAAAAATAGCTTTGAACTAAGTATTTATTTATATTCAGATTATTAAATGTAACTAGGAATGTGTTCCCCATAAGCTCATAACGCAGTAATCCTAATAATAGTAATCCTTTTTTAGTGTATTACATGCAAAGTGATAAGTTAGGTATCTCTAAATCCTTGGTCCGACATCTAGAGAATTTCACCCCGCACCTTGGTCCGGCTACGTGTGTATAATTTACTAACCCTTACCTTTACCTCATATTAGACATCATAATCGATGTTTGGCTTATTTATTACTTCACACCAATCGACACTAGCCTATTAGATAGTATCACACTAAATCTATGTTGATAGTTCTTTTCTTGTTAATTACCTCCTTGGTCCGGCAAGTAGTAACAAGGCGAGTTCTAACGTTGGCCACCGTTAAAAAGACTTCTAAACGAAAGAATTATCAATGCATGCAAAATACTAGTCAAGAATTGCTTATTTACTATTCATACTTTGTTAATCGCTCATGGTTCCCACAACCCTAGTTATGAAAGTTAGCTACTCATTATCTCAAAAACACAATCAAAATTTATTAAAATAAATATGCTTGTGTTAATCATAAAATGTTAAGAACAATAGCTAAACTATCTTTTATTAATCACGAATACAAATAAATAATAAAGGAGAAGAAAGAATAAACCACAATTCTCCGGCCTCCACGACGGCTCTTCCAAAGTTCCTAAGCTACAAGAAAATTTATATTGTGTCTTGTATCTTGGTTCTTGGCGCCTTTTCTCTCAAATAATTATTTCTATGCACTATTTATAGATGTAGGAATCCTAAATAAAACAATTAAGTTCAAGACAAATTAGGAAAACAAAACCCAATTAAATTGGGTTGTCCGTCTCTTTTTTTTTTCGCGTTGCTGGAAGTGTACGCCGCTTCAAAATTGTGACAGCTTCAATACTTGGCACGTGTACAACAAACATAACAATTAAAATTCATCAATTTGCAGCTGCCGTTTCCTTATATATATAAATATATTATTTTATTCAATTTAATCCATTAAGATGTCTGCTTGATTTCCTTTTTCAACCTTCCATCTTTAATTCGTTTTAGCTCCAAACTTTTTCATTTTTCCTCTAATTTAATCCTACACATAAAATACACAATTTAACACAATCCATCAAATTAATGCTCAAAAAGGACAAATATAAATAATAAATGTGAGGAAATAATGATTAAAAATACGTATTTTTAGCCTCACATCACTGCACACGATTGGAAAACATCAGACAACATGTGGCATTCTAGATTAGGACACCCTAGTTTGAAGTCTTTAAAAGTTGTGAGTAGTAATAGCTGCATCACTGTTAGTAGTGAAATAAATGGTTACTTGTTTGTTCAAGTTGCCAGATGGGCAAGAGTTGTAAACTTTCATTTGGTTTGAGAAAATGAAAAGGAACCTTTATTAAAATTAATTGGGACTTTTGGGGGCCTACTCTCGTTGAATCTTCTCAACATATGAATATTATGTCATTTTTGTAGATGATCACACAAGATATACATGGATTTATCCACTGAAAAAGAAATCCAAAATTTTTGAGTTCTTTGTAAAATTCCAAAAAATGGTGGAAAAATAATTTCTAAAGAAATTAAGATATTTTAGTGTGATGGAAGTGGTGAGTTTATCAAAAAAGACTTCATCAACCATTTGGAAGATTGTGGCATTATGAGACATATTTTATGTCCTAACACACCTGAACAAAATGAAGTTTCAGAAAGAAAACATAGGCACATTATGGAGACTGCTTAACTCTAGTACCTCATGGTAACCTACCTTTGTTTCTATGGGTTGAGGCTTTTGTCACGACCCAAGGGTAACCCTTAGACGTAACAAGGAACATAGAACCCCGAAAGGCACCATGTAAGCCACTTAGCATATCATAACATAAAACATTAGAACAATAAGAGTAAAAATGCATTTAAGTCTAAAAATCTTTATAAAGGAAAACAGAAGTCTAGATTTGTCTCAATTAACCATCTATTAAAATACTTGAGTCAAAATAGAGTCATACCCCAAAACAACATAATCCGAAAGTGAAAGTACAAGAATGAAACAACAATGATAGCATCCCATCCTCGAATCATAAGGACTCATCACGAGCAAGGAGAAATGAGCAAATCCAAGCTCTATCCACAACGGGGACCACCTTGAGAACCGGACCCTACACTTGGGAAAAAATGTAGGAAAATATGGGTTAGGACAAAAATGCACTAAGTATGATAGTCATGCACAAAATCATGAAGACATGCTAAAAGGGACATTTTAGTTAAATGCATGCCATTTACTAGTTTAAAGCATCACTTAGAAGATAATAGAAAAGCATAAGTCATAAGCACAATCAACTCATATACCATCATATCATAATAGGATCATACCATAAATACCCTCAAAGATTACTTGTGCAATGCATGAATAAGATCCCATAATCCCACCCATACTAAGTGAAGCTTCTTGAGTAACTATAGTTCATATCTCATATTCTTGTTCATACTATCATAAATGGAGATTAGCCTTAACTGACATAGACCATGTGAGCTTACCATAGAATCTGGTGTCTACCTCACACCGAAAAGGGGTTGTCCTACTTGCCTAAGGTAGAACCATACTCTTAGCTTAGGTGGATCCACTAGCTAAAGACCTATGTGGGCACATAGTTATGGGATAGGGAGATTGCTACTAGAAACCCGGAATCTACTAAGGTATAAGGTTTCGATCTCATGAGATACATACTTTGGGAACCCAAACTCAACTATGGTAGAAGGAACCCATTTGGAAAGACAAACTCAACTAGTGTAAAAGCTTTTATCTCATATTCATATCCACTTGGTGCTAATAATTAATTCCCATAGATTACATATTAAGTCTTGACTTAAGTGCATATTCATGGAAGAATGTCTTGACACTCAATCCAACATAATTCATACTATAGCTAATAGATTCAATAGGTGAGAATAGCCTTTCAACCCTAGAATCATTATATTGTGAGAAAACCTTTCAATTCATATCATATTCATACACAAGTGTGTACCCGAGGATAATCATCCAATCAACACAACAACTAGATCATAATCATATTCACTTTACTCTCAAAGTATTCGAAAAGCATTACATAACCCTCATAATCATGCATAATTATCATACTTTGCCCTTCAAGGGCCATAGCTCATATTTAATCAACACATCTAGAATTACTACATTAGACATGGATAATAACATGATTCAATTAATCAATTCACTACATTCACAATTCTATAATATTCTACTTGTATGAAGCGATGCCCACACTTTGAGATCCAATTTGGGAAAATAGGGGAATTCATGGATTCTTGGGGAATTCAACATTAAACCATATAAAATCATCAATTTATCGATAATAAAACATAATTCAATCATTAAAAAAAAAATTGAAATGAATCCATGAGATTGAAGTCAAACCCTAACTTTTAGGATTTTTAGATTTGAAATTGGTTTGGAGGGACTCAATGGATGAAAACTATCTATGGATGAAAGACTACCATAACTTAGCTTTGAATTCCAATGAAATTGAGTGGAAAACGTGCTCCTTCAAACCCTAGATTCACCTTTCTTTTTCTTCTTCTTTGGAGTTATAGAGAGAGAGTTTTGGGGGAAAAGTTGGTTTTGGTTTGGGATTTTGGAATTACGAGGAAGATGACTCGATTTGGGGGTCTTAAATAATTATATAGTTAGTCTAATTTAGTGTAAAACAACGTCACTTTATATTAAATAAAAATGGAAAACCCCAAAGTACCCCTTAACTAACTCCCAAAAATAGTTCCCAGTCATCACCCATGACACCCTCATAGACGGACCGTGGTTCGACCATAGCCCGTGCTGGTGAAGCGTGGGTCGGGGTCTGAGACCAGATCCTGCAGGTTCCATCAACGGCCCCTCACCCATGAGGCGTGGGGGGCATACGGGGAGTGAGTGTCCCCTCGTGGGTCACTGCCCAGGTGCATTCTTGGTTCATTCCTCAAGGACCCATGGTTGGTCCTTGGGATTAGAACCTTGACGTTTTAACATGAAAACATTTATTTTAAGGTACGTGGAGGTACATTTCAAGGCTCTAACCCTAACATCAAGCTCTAGTTTAGCCTACTAGTTTTCGAAGTGTTACAATATCTCCGCCTTGAGAACATTCATCCTCAAATGACGATCTAGACACTTTACGAAATTAAAGACTCAAAACTAGCAACCCAACATGCATGAAACATCAAAATAATGTATAATTCAAAAGGAGGAAACTTCAACTCCGTCTAAAACATAGCCAATGCAACACAAGGAAGTAAGAATTACATCTAACAACCCATTGTGTATGAAACTCAATATTTCACATATTCATAGGAGGAACTACCTTCTCCAACTAATATCATGCTCAACACAATATCATGGAGCCAATATGCAATTACTCTCAAAAGCATACTAAAGCATGTTCATCAACTTTTCTCATGAAGTCAAATAGGCACTCATACTAAATGCACAACAACATGAGGAGCATATATCATGAAAACTCATTTTTCTAATAAACATGAATTTATCAAGAACATGCATAACATAAGGAAATCATGGAAACACACATATAGAACATATGACTTCCAAAACATTAAAACTCAAAAGGAACTACTTACCTTAAGCTTGAATAGAAGTAGAAGGAAAGAGATGAGGGTACTGGGACTTCATATTGGCCTCGGCCTTCCAAGTAGCACCCTCAACTAAATGATTTCTCCATAAAACCTTCACGGAGGCAACTTTCTTGTTTCTCAACCTCTTGACTTGCCGGTCTAGAATTTCAATCGGCACCTCTTCATAAGCAAGATTCTCTTTAACCTCTAAACCCTCTAAGGGGACTATGGTTGATGGATCCCCAATATATTTCTTCAACATTGAGACATGGAACACTGGATGCACCAACACCAGCTCATTCGGCAAATCTAACTCATATGCAATCTTGCCCATACGCCTCAAAATCTCATAAGGACCCACAAACTGAGGACTAAGTTTCCCCTTCTTTCCAAACCTCATAACACCCTTCATGGGCGAGATTCTCAAATAAACCCAATCATGGACATCAAATTCTAAATCCATTCTTCTAACATCAGCATATGACTTTTGCCAACTTTGGGCCGTTCTCAACCTCTCTCTAATTACCTGAATCTTCTCAATAGCTTCATAAACCAATTCAGGACCAATAAAAGCAATTTAACCTACCTCAAACCAACCAACCGGAGACCTACATCTCCTACCATACAAGGCTTCAAAGGTAGCCATCTCAATACTTGAATGGTAACTATTATTATAGGCAAATTCAACTAACGACATATGGTCATCCCAATTGCCTTTAAAATCTATCACGCATGCCCTCAACATGTCCTCTAAAGTACGAATGGTGCATTCCCCTTGACCATCCATTTGTGGGTGAAAAGTTGTGCTAAGCTTCACCTTTGTACCTAGCCCCTTTTGGAAGGACTTCCAAAACTGTAAAGTAAATTAGGGGCCCCGATCTGAAATAATAGACAAGGAAACTCCATGTAACCTCACCATCTCCTTCAAATACAATTTAACATATTCTTCTGCCGGGTTGGACACCTTGACGGGAATAAAATGAGCGGACTTAGTCATTTGGTCCACTATTACCCATATTGAGTCATGTTGCTGCCTAGTACATGGCAAGCCTACAATAAAATCCATGTTCACATCTTCCCACTTCCAAGTAGGAATAGGATTATCTTGTGACAAGCCTCCCGACCTTTGGTGCTCAACCTTAACTTGTTGACAATTAGGACATTTGGCTATAAATTTTGCGATGTCCTTTTTCATCCTATTCCACCAATAAACTTCCCATATGTCACGGTACATTTTGGTGGCTCCCGGATGAATAGAATATCGAGAACTATGAGCTTCCTCTAAAATTTGCCCCCTTAAACCATGAACATCCAGAACACATAATTGACCTTGGGAGAAAGCCTCAATGGACTTTTTGAGTACCAACTCTTTCAATTCAACTAATATAGGATAAAGGCTTTGCTTAGCCTTCACATCTATTACAAAGGATGATTCAGACCCATTATAAACCATGACACTACTCTTGGCGGAATCCACTAGTTGAACACCTAGCCGAGCCAACCTATGCACATCACGAACCAACTATTTCTTTTCATCATCTACATGAGCCACACTACCCATAGACAACCTACTAAGAGCATCTGCTACCACATTAGCCTTGATGGGGTGATAAAGGACACTCATATCATAATCTTTTAATAACTACAACCACCTTCATTGTCAAAGATTTAAGTCCTTTTTGACTAAACACATATTGAAGACTTTTATGATCAGTGAAAACATCCACATGGACCCCATACAAATAATGCCTCTATATTTTTAAGGCAAATACAACCGCCGCTAATCCAAGATCATGGGTAGTATAATTCTTCTCATGGACTTTAAGTTGCCTTGAAGTATAGGCAATCACCTTACCGTTTTGCATAAGCAGACATCCCAACCCCACTCTAGAGGCATCATAATACACCATAAAACCATTCGTACCTTTCAGTAAGGTCAACATCGGAGTGGAAGTAAGTCTATCTTTCAATTCTTAGAAACTTTTATCACAAGTTTCCGACCACTCAAACTTAGCCTTCTTTTGAGTCAAAGTTGTCAAGCAATGGAGGAAAACCCCTCAACAAACCTCCTATAGTAACCGGCCCAACCCAAAAAACTTCTAATGTCGGAAGGAGTTAGAGGTCTAGGCACCCTCTTGACCGCATCCATCTTCTTAGGGTCTACCTCAATAACCTTGCTTGACACAATATGACCAAGGAACGCTATGGACCTTAACCAAAATTCACACTTGCTAAACTTTGCAAAAAGTTGATGGTCCTTAAGAACTTGAAACACAATCCTCAAATGGTCCACATGTTCATTCTCACTCCTTGAATAGATCAAGATATCATCGATAAACACAATCACAAACATGTCTAGGTATTGCCTAAACACTCTATTCATCAAATCCATAAATTCCGCCGAGGCATTTGTCAACCCAAATGACATAACCACAAATTCGTAGGGAACATACCGGGTCCTAAAGGCTGTCTTTGTAATATCAACCCCTCTCACTCTTAATTGGTGATAACCCGAATGAAGATCAATTTTGGAGAAATAGCAGCCCCTTGAAGTTGATCAAACAAGTCATCAATTCTTGGAAGGGGATATTTATTCTTAATGGTCACTTTGTTCAATTAACGATAATCAATTGACATTCTAAGAGACCCATCCTTCTTTCTAACAAACAACACTGGAGCACCCTATGGAGAGATACTCGGTCGAATAAAATCCTTATTTAGAAAATCTTTTAATTGCTCTTTCAACTCTTACAACTTGGCCAGAGTCATTCTATAAGGAGGCATGGAGATAGGTTGCGTATCCGGTAAGAGGTGAATACCAAAATCTATTTCTCGTTCGAAAGAAATATCTGGAAAATCATCAGGAAAAACTTCCAGAAACTCATTCACTATCAGAACCGACTCTAAAGAAGAAGTTCCGGACTCAACATCTATCACCCTAACTAGATGGTAAATACACCCTCTTGAGATCATTTTTCTAGCTTTAAGGCAAGAAACAAATTGACCTCTAGGAATAGAATTTCCCCCCTTCCACTCTAAGATAGGCTCATTTTGAAATTGGAACCTAACCACCCGAGTCCTACAATCGATAGAGGCATAACATGCATGCAACAAATCAATACCCAAAATCACATCAAAGTCTAACATGTCTAACTCTACCAAATCCACCAATGTAACTTTAAGGGACAAGGAAATGGGACAACTTCTATAGACTCTTTTAGCCACCACCGAGTTACTAATCGGGGTAGAGACCGAAAAAGTTTCTACTAACACTTCGGGTAGTATTTCAAACTTCATGGACACAAAAGGTGTCACAAAGGACAAAGTAGCACCGGGATCTAACAAGGCATATACATCAATAAAAAAGACTTTTAACATACCAATCAGCACATCCAAGGATCTCTCTTGGTCACCTTGGGATTGAAGAGCATAAAAGCGGTTTTGCTTTAGCGCATTGGAGTTGGAACCGCTTGGAGGAGCTTGTTTATCTTCCCTTCCATTAACCTTGAGCATTGGACAATCCCTCATCTTATTTCCAATCTTCCCACAACTAAAACACCCATCGGTACCAGCAAGACACTTGCCATCATGCTTTCTACCATATTTTGCACAATTAGGCCTAGCAACATAAGAGCCACCACTATCACCTCCTTGAGGTTTAGGGTTGGAAACCCCATCCTTTTTTACCCTTGGAGAACTACAGGAGCCTTGGTTGGAGAATCTTTGTCTAAACCTTGGTCGACCTTGTCCATCGGACCTAGCATTGGAGAAGTTCTCATCACCGGTTCTAGCTCTTTTCACCTCTCTATTTCTTTTCTTGAGTTTTGACTCCTCAATTTGTTGAGCATACACCATGATCATTGAGATATCTATGTCATGAAGGATCATTGCCGTACGACATTCTTCTTGAACCAAATCGAACACACCCATCAAAACCTACTCATCGCAACCCTTGAATCCGCCACCATAGATGGAGCATACTTGGATTGTTGGGTAAATTTCAAGGCATATTCCTTGAAACTTATGCTACCTTGCCTAAGGTTAATGAATTCCTCCACCCTAGCTTCCCTCAACTCTCGGGGAAATAATCTATCAATAAATGCCGATTTGAACATTTCCCATTCTAGTGGCCCCGCTCCTACGAGTCTTCCCCTCTTCCACAATCCATATCATACTTGAGAAACATCCTTTAATTGGTAGGTGGCTAACTCTGCCTTCTCTCCCGAAGATACCCCCATAATATCAAGGACCTTATACACCTCATCGATAAACCTGTGGGGATCCTCTTCAACTTTAGAGCCATGAAATTCGGGAGGGTTCATTCTAGAAAAATCCCTAACCCTAGAAGCAGCCAAATTCACATTAGGATTTTCCGTAGCTATCACTTCTCTATTGGCTTGAGCCGTCATGACTTGAGCCAACATTTGGATTGTAGATCTAAATTCCGCATGGGTCACATTCTCAACCGGGATCAATCAGAGCTTGGTTAACTTGAGTAGCTTGATTAGCTTGAAGATCTTCCTAATTCACATTGCCACCCTCCATTCTTCTAGTGTTTTCCCTTCGTGTGTTCATATCCAGAAGACACAAGAGAGGGATTAGTAGAGAGACTTTATAGAGTTAAACTCTAAGGCACGACTTAAGAGTAGTGAAAGAACTGACATTTCCTAAACATCTTATAGCCTCTCATTCATAAGTTTGGCGTGCTTCACACTCATGAACAAGACACTACAAGACGTAGTTTATGAGACATCATCTTAGAACCATTCTAAACCTTATGCTTTGATATCAAGTTTGTCACAACCCAAGGGTATCCCCTAGACGTAACAAGGCACATAAAACCCCGAAAGGCACCATGTAAGCCACTTAGCATATCATAACATAAAACATTAGAATAATAAGAGTAAAAAAACATTAAAGTCCAAAAATATTTATAAAAGAAAGTGGAAGTCTAGACTTGTCTCAATTATCCATCTATTACAATACTTGAGTCAAAATAGGGTCATAATCCAAAACAATATAATTCAAAAGTTAAAGTACAAGAATGAAATAACAATGATAGAATCCCGTCCTCGAATCATAAGGACTCACCATGAGCAAAGAGAAATGAGAAAATCCAAGCTCTAGCCATAACGGGGACCACCTTGAGAACCGAACCCTACACTTGGGGAAAATATGGGTTAGTACAAAAATGCACTAAGTATGATAGTCATGCACAAAATCACGAAGACATGCTAAAAGGGACATTTTAGTTAAATGCATGCCATTTAGTAGTTTAAAGCATCACTTTGAAGATAATGGAAAAGCATAAGTCATAAGCACAATCAACTCTTATATCATCATATCATAATAGGATCATACCATAAATACCCTCAAAGCATACTTGTGCAATGCATGAATAAGTTCCCATAATCCCATCCATACTAAGTAAATCTTCTTGAGTAACTATAGTTCATATCTCATATTCTTATTCATACTATCATAAAGGGAGATCATCCTTAACCGACATAGACCATGTGAGCCTACCATGGAATATGGTGTCTACCCCACACCGAAAAGGGGTTGTCCTACTTGCCTAAGGTAGAACAATACTATTAGCTTAGGTGGATCCACTAGCTAGACCTATGTGGGCACATAGTTATGGGATAGGGAGATTGCTACTAGAGACCTGGACTCTACTAAGGTATAAGGTTTCCATCTCATGAGATACATACTTTAGGAACCTGGACTCAACTATGATAGAAGGAACCCATTTGGAAAGCCAGACTCAACTAGTGTAAAAACTTTCATCTCATATTAATATCCACTCGATGCTAAGCATTATTACCATAGATTACATATAAAGTCTTGACTTAAGTGCATATTCATGGAAGAATGTCTTGACACTCAATCCAACATAATTCATACTATAGCTCATAGATTCAATAAGTGAGAATAACCTTTCAACCCTATAATCATCATATTGTGAGAAAACCTTTCACTTCATATCATATTCATACATAAGTGTGTACCTGAGGATAATCATCCAATCAACACAACAACTAGATAATAATCATATTCACTTTACTCTCAAAGTGTTCTAAAAGCATATACATAACCCTCATAATCATGCATAATTCTCATACTTTTCCCTTCAAGGACTATAGCTCATATTCAATCAACACATATATAATTACTACATTAGATATGGATAATAACATGATTCAATTAATTAATTCACTACTTTCACAATTCTATTATATTCTACTTGCATCAATCACTGCCAACACTTTGAGATCCAATTTGGGAAAATAGGGGAATTAATGGATTCTTGGGGAATTCAACACAAAACCATATAAAATAATCAATTTATTCATAATAAAACATAATTCAATCATTAAAATGAATTTGATAGGCATCCATGAGATTGAAGTCAAACCCTAACTTTTGGGATTTCTAGCTTTGAAATTGGGGTTTTGGAGGGACTCCATGGATGAAAACTATCCATGGATGAATAAATATCATACCTTAGCATTTAATTCCAATGAAATTGTGTGGAAAATGTGTTCCTTCAAACCCTAGCTTCATCTTTCTTCTTCTTCTTCTTTGGAGTTCTAGAGAGAGTTTTTTTTTGGGGGGGGGGGGGGGGGGAGTTGGTTTTGGTTTGGAATTTTTGAATTATGAGGAAGATGACTTGATTTGGGGGTCTTAAATCATTATATAGTTAGTCTAATTTAGTGTAAAACGTTGTCACTTTATATTAAATAAAAATGGAAATCCCCAAAGTACCCCTTAGTTAACTCCCAAAAACAGTTTCCAGTCATCACCCACGATCCCCTCACAAACGGACCATGCTGGTGAATCATGGGTCGGGGTATGAGACCAGATCCTGCAGGTTCAATCAATGGCCCCTCACCCATGAGGCATGGAGGGGTCTACGGGGCATGAGTGGCCCCTCGTGGGTCACTACTGAGGTGGATTATTGGTTGATTCCTCAAGGACCCATGGTTGGTCCTTTGGGTTTGAACCTTGACGTTCTAAGATGAAAATATTTATTTTAAGGTACGAGGAGGTATATTTCAAGGCTCTAACCCTAACGTCAAGCTCTAGTTTAGCGTACTAGTTTCCGGAGTGTACAACTTTCCTCACAACAGTGTTCCTCATTAATAGACTGCTGATGATTCCTAGATTTTGACTCATGTAGGGATTTGTTTTGATTGTTTATTATCCTCAAATGCCTATTTTATGCTTCGAATTTATGTTACAGTGTTGATTTGTAGCAAGGAAGCAAAATGAAAAAGGCAAGGACATTACCGGACAAAAAGGAGCTAAAAAGATGAAAAAGATTGAAGATAAAAAATGCCGAGAATCGCCAAAGCTTCTTGGCAACTCACTGAGTGGCAATTCAGCTCGCCTAAACTTCCAGACTACCAACCCTGGGGAGAAGCCAACTTGGCGATGGATTTGGACCTTTGGCAAACCGCCGAATGGATCGGCGACACAATCTGGATCGCCTAAAGTTACAAAACCTTGAGGATAAATAGCCAAGGAAGACCGGCGATGGAATAGAGCGATTGGCGCATTGCCAACCTGATCGGCGACATTCGACTTACCTCGCCTAATTGTTCTTGTAGCTGAAATTTGAGAAATGATAAATTGAATTTAAAAGAGTTCAAAGGAATCCTAATTTTTATTATTGAAGTCCAGTTTTAGTTTTCTTCCATTTATAGAGAGTTTTCTTAGTATTTTCCATTGGAGAACAACTTTGAAGGGGTTTTCAAGTAGATTCGAAGTGGGTCTTTGAATTTTAGCACTTTGGATCATTTTAAAGATTTGGGTTGCAATACTCAGATCATGGAGAATGTTTTTGGTATTGATTTCTATCTTTTTATGATGTTTGGATAAAACCCCAATTCTTGGGGTGTGATCATGTGATTATTTGCCTAATTAGGTTATGGGTATTGTTGTTTAGTGATTTAAATGTTGTTTTAAGGCAGAATGACTTGAGAGGCCCTTGTACGTGACTTGATTTGTAAGTTGGATCCCTGTACTTACGATATTTTCAACTGAACCCTTAAACTTATTCAAACACTATTTTATACCCCTTTTTTGTCTAATGGGTGTGCGTGTAGTACACTCATTTTACACATGAAATACCACATCATTTTTTAATGAAACGTCATTATTTTTATTAATTTTGTAATGACACATCAGAAATTAAATATTTAAAAATAAATAATATTTAAAAAAATGCATTTTTTCTCTCTCGCTCTCTCACTCTCTCTCTCATTGTACTCATTTCATCCCCTTCCCGCTTCATCTTTTTTGTTCCCACCTTCTACCATTTTCATCCCAAAAAATAAAAACCACAATTTTCATCTTTCATCATAGTTCACACTCAAAGATTTCCTCAATCACAAAACGTGATAGATTATAATTAGTTTTCGCACATGCTTTAGGGTTCTATTTATTTTGATTTGATAAAAAGAGATATCAAGAAAACTTCAAATTGAAGTTTATATGTAAATTCAAGTAATAAATTTTAAAGATTTAAGTTTATAAAAATGGTGAATGGTGTATTTTCTTACAAAACCTTTTTTCAAATTGTTTTTTGATGAATTTATTGTGATGATGTGTACGTCAAAGAAGAAGAGTAGAAAAGGAGTAGTGGCGGGGGAGGTGGGGGTGAATGAGGGTTGAGGTTGAAGAAGATGAGAAAAGGAGTAGGGGTGGGGTGGGGGTGGGGGCTGAAGTTGAAGAAGAAGAGAAAAAGGGTGGGGCTGAAGAAGAGAGAAGGGGTGGGGGTAGGGCGAGGTGGGGTGGAGTGAAGAAGAAGGAGGTTTTCAATATTTTTTCTAAAATTTATTATTGTTGTTTTTCTTATAATTTTGACAATTTTAAAATAACAATATTGTATTCACTTGCTTAAAAAACGTGTGTGGTCATGTATTTGTCCAACTCAACCATTTTAGTGTCACATAAGTTTGGTCAATGGTCAAAGGGGCTTAAAAATTAGAGTTTCATCGAGTTTAAAGGTTCAGTTGGCAAAATCATAAGTACAGGGATCCAACTTACAAACCGAGTCAAGTACAAGGGTCTCCCAGGTCATTCCACCTTTTTTAAATGTGGGTTTGATAGATAGCTGAGTAGTAATTTATGAATTGTAGTTGCAAATACAATTTTAGTTTAGTATTCTCGGATTGCTCGAGAGAGAGGTTCCATTACCAAAGTTATCGATTGATGATTGTAGTGTGTGGATTGTTATGGGTTCAGCTCGAGAGAGTGAATCTTAACTAATTCCTACGTATCTAGCTCGAGAGAGTAGATAAATTAAGGTTTTGGGTTGTGTTGTAGTGTCAAGCCTGTCGAGGTTAGAGAGAAATCGCCTGAACTGTAGTAGTTATTCGAGAGAAAACTGTTGCACCTATAG